TTTAAAAAATTTATTTTATTGTTATTAGATTGCAAATGTATCTTTTTCCTATCTTTATGCTTACTTCCTGCACTCTACACACACTTTTGGCACTGGCAAAATCCTTTTACATTCAGGAAATTACTCCCTCTAGTGGGGGGGGGGTTTATCACATTTTTTACTATCATATTTCTTAATGTTTTTGCTTTCCTGTAAATGAATTTAGGATGACAAGGTAGTTCTTTACTCAGTATTTTGTCTTTTTTTCAAAATCGACCAGTAAGTTTTTATAATTTTTCTCTATTTTTTTTTTATAATCACCATTCAATTGTGTGAGGAATGCAAATTTCATAGGTTTAATATCGTCTAGAGTTCTCTTTTTACCCTGCAACATATGGTTTCTGTCAATCCTTCTTACTTTTCCCTTCACCTTTACCAATGTTTCCTTTTTATAGCCTTTCTTGATGAATTTTTCTATCAGGTCATTACTATGGTCATCAAAATCTTTTTCAATGTCACAGTTCATTTTCATTGACCTTTCACCTACTAGTGAGCAGGAAACTATTCCTATCTGTTTCATTCACATGCTTCCCATTTAGTTTTAAATATAGTGAGGTTTAAAAACTCTACCTTCTCACAACTCCACGTGGATGTAGATGTTAGACCATATATGTTGTTATTTAATTTCCTCCAAAACGTTTCTGAAAGATTCCTCATTTCCTCTCCATATAACCAGCACATCATCTATGAAGTGCCTGTGAAAGGCTAGTTCTTGTTTCCTATTTTTAAAGACGTCCTCTACTTCCCACTTGGCCATCACTAAGTTAGCTACACTGTGTGCATATTTTGCTCCCATCGCTATGCCTTTTGTTTGAGCATAGTACTTGTTATTGTACCAAAAGAAGTTGTTCTTCATTGCTAACTCTTCCCATTCAAACAACATGCCTAAAAAAGTTTTATAAGTGTTTCTTACCTTTCAGTTGTTTCTTAGGAGGAGGTGTCATGGCTGACTGCAAGGTTTTTTGAACAATGTTAGAGTGCACCTATTCCAAATCTGTCCTCATTAACCTCTTGGCACCGAACGAACGCAAATGTGCGGCCTCCCGGCGTCTGGGCCTAGATGCCGAGCGGCCGCACATTTGTGTTCTATTTGCGTTCCAGCACACACGTTCGGTACTCACTGAAAGGTCCCAATCTCCTCTTTCAATCTGGACCTTTCCCGATCATGTGACAGCGAATCATGGCGGTCACATGACCCTAAAACCCCGCCCCATCTCCCGGCTTCTAGAACCCTTAAACAGCCGGGAGGCACCGGCGTCAAGGGGTTAAAATACACTGTAAGAAGACCAGCCTCTACACCTTTAACATTTTGTTAGGACAGACAGTGTTCAATCAAGTTACGATTGATAATGGTATATCTGCCTGTGCAGTACAGATAGGGTTAATAATGGAAAACACAATTGCCCTGGTCCCTCATAAATAAACACAAAGAATAAATAAAGAAATAATGAAAACTACCTAACATGTTTCCTTGCTGGAAGGTCCAGGAATAAAACATCTATAAAAGTTAAGCTGCAAGTTTTATTTTTTTTTACTTAAGCTACTTTATGTGAATAGGGACATGTAACAAATACAAAGTAGGTGTTATCCCAATTTGGCTGCAAAAATGGAAGTACACTTTAAAGTGCAACATATACAAGTGCATATAAACTTTGTTGAACCCACATTTTGGCACTTTTTGATGATATCATTACACACGGTACATGCACTGTGTCTGATGCATGTTCTTAAACGTCAGCATGCATTTCTTACACATGTGATATTTTCAAATAATAAACTAATGTGTAGTGCTGCACTACTCAAAAAACACTTAAACATAACATAGCATACATAAAAGTCCAAAGCACATATAAAAAACTCAACAATAAAAGTCCAAAAGGAAAAAAGAAGGCAATAACTCTTCAGCAATGTAAGTGGGAAAAAGTATTCCTACTGGAGAGTAAGCCCACAATCCCGGTGCTGTAAATCTTTAAATGGTGTGCATCACCACGGTGACCATATGAAATAGGTGAACCCTCACCTTCATGTATGGAACCATATAAGAAACAAGTCAACCATTCCTGGTTGACCTGTTTCTTATACAGGTGAGTTTTTTACATGTGCTTTGGACTTTTATGTATGTTATGTTATGTTTAAGTGTTTTTTGAGCAGTGCAAAGTGTTTATTATTTCACATGTCCTGAACACACATTTTATGTGTTTTCAGCAGCTCATATTCACAATTGTTTCACCATTCATTTAATTATTTGGCAGCGCACAATTTTCATCACTTATATATTTTCAGATAAACAGCATTTCCCACAAACCCCACCTTCTTTATGGTGGGTCTGCAAGATCATGATTCAGCAATATTCTCTTTAACTGATGTGCCATTCATTCTTAAAGATACATACACATAATAGAAATATTCCTATATTTTTATGTAATTATTGCCTAGACGCCGAGTGGCCGCACATTTGCGGTCTATTAAAAAAAACATATGTGCTGAGAGTGCGCGCTCTGCGTGCTCCCAGCACACACGTTCAGTACTCACTGAAAGGTTCCGATCTCCTCTTTCGATATTTTTATGTAATTATTGCAGTCCAGCTTTTTATTTACCAGTGGTCACCATTTAAAAAAACAACATTTTTATCTATCTACCGGTATATGCATGATTCTTTTTCTAAAGAATTTATATTTTATAATGGAATATACTGTATATATTATTCATACCAATAAAATTAAGTAAATGCATTTTAGGACTTGCCAATCACTATATTTTCCATCCTGTCCAACTGAGGGGATATTTGTTCTTTCTCATTTTTGTTCACTGTAAGTTCCATCTAGCAGAACATAGTGGTTTATAATTTAAATTACTATTTCTTAGGAGTAATTTTTTGCAGGAGCACTAGCAGTTATTTCATACAATGGAATGCCCTGTGGATTGTTAGTACTGCTACTGCAATGTTTTGTTTTTTTTTTACCGCTGGCTACTAGAACATACTTTTAGCACATTCTTGCTGTGGCATTAGGAGGGCTAAGAATTTACAACACTCACCCTAATGTACTGTGAACAATCGGGTAAATTTAAAGGAGAATCAGTCCCTAACCTAATGAAGAAGTGATCTTTTGAGGGGTCCGACAAAAGGGGATACACTACCAGTGAAGTTTAGGAACCTGTGCTATAAGGTTTGTGAACTGTGAGGCAGGTCTGAGGAGCAAGCCCTGGTGTCCAATAGCTGAGGGCCTTTTTATGCCAATTATTTTTATGTTTTCAATTAATATTGATTTCTTATTTTTGGTAAAATACAACAGAATATTTGCTTGTTAAATTTAAAGGTGACAAGGCATAGTTAACTCTGTTTTGCAGGAGATATGTAAAATAGGGAAAGCCCATTTGTCATAAGGTACAAGGATGTAAAACGTTGGTGAAAAAAAATCTCTGCTGCGCACAACATTTTCTATTCCTGTCAGGACATGAAGCCTTACATTCTTAGTTGCTTCCACCATATGTTACTACATTTGCATATCTCTGTTAATGACATCCAGAGAGAATTGAATAAAGCAGTTGCTTGCTCCAAATGAAAATGTTATTGTGACATTAAAATTTCAAAGAGTTAAAAACATCTTATACCCTAGGCAGCAGGCGTTTCACACAGACTTTGTGTTTTGTCAAGGGTCTACAATAATTATTTACCCTGTAATGGGTATGCAAAAAAAATGTATGCAAACAGAAGCAATGAACTTTCTTATTTGCTACTTTTTGGTCTGCTAAATGTGGAATTTATTCCTTCCAGTGCTAGAGCCATTTGTACTTTCTTTTAAAATAATTTTAGGCTTGAAGATTACTTAAACACCCCGACATTCTATATTTTCTGAAATAAAAGGACCCAGGATAAATTAGTGGTATTTCCAATTTTATGCCACACAATATTTGCATAATGTTTATCAAGCACAAAATTTCAGTAAAAAACACTACAGTGATTTCTGGGCACGCAAAGCTAATATACTACATTGCCTAATTTTTTTGGCAAAATATAAAAGATGAGATTGTGTGTTTTTAGACACCTGGGGTTTATTTACTAAAGCTGGAGAGTCCAAAATCAGACTCCCTTCTGCATAGAAACCAATCAGCTTCCAGGTTTCATTGCCAAAGCTTCATTGAACAAGCTGAGGTTAGAAGCTGATTGGTTTCTATGCAGAAGGGAGTCTGATTTTGGACTCTCCAGCTTTAATAAATAAACCCCCTGATGTCTCATCTGCCTTCCACTGAAGCTAATGAAGTGTAAAATGTGCTAAATTAGCTTCTTTCCTTGCCTCAAAGTTCTTCTCTAACTAGGGGAGATCAGTGAACAGATGTTCACTGGTCTCCTTCTGCTCCACCCTGCAGCACCCACCATGCAGGCCTCCAGGTGGGACAGCAAAGCCTAAGAAACATGGCAGAGGATTTGCTTTGGGGGTCACAGTCCATGGGTCAAAAAAAGCAATTGGGTGGCTGTACAGCTACTGGAACACTTTCATTAGAAATTGGAAAGCATCCAGGAATGTGTATAAAGCCTCATGCTGCCACTGACATAAGACATACAACAGTAGCAGCAAAAGGGTTAAATTGCTTTGATTTATCTGTTACAAAGGTGCAAAAAAAATCCCTGTCAATTTTGCCAGAAATCTTGGCAGTTTCTGACTTCCTATGATATCTGCCTGTGCACATAAAGGAAGGGACGAGGGGTGGTGAGGAGCCTTGTGTTCTTACTAAACCATCAGAAACTAAGTGTGTGTGTGTGTGTGGGGGGGGGGGGGTGACACCACATGCTTAGGATGTCAGAGCTGTGTTGTCATGTTGCTCCATAAGACGCACCTGACCATAAAACGTACCTAGGTTTTAGAGGAGGAAAACAAAAAAAAAATTCTGAGCCAATGGACTGCAGATTTAGTACAAGAAATGACCAGAGACTGCAGACACAGTACAGGAGATGACCAGAGACTGCGGACACAGTACAGAAGATGACCAGAAACTGTGGACACAGTACAGGAGATGACCAGAGACTGCGGACACAGTACAGAAGATGACCAGAAACTGTGGACACAGTACAGGAGATGACCAGAGACTGCGGACATACTACAGGAGATGACCAGAGATTGCAGACAGTATAGGAGATGACCAGAGACTGCGTACACAGTACAGGAGATGACTAGAGACTGCAGACATAGTACAGAAGATGACCGGAGACTGCGGACATAGTACAGGAGATGACCAGAGACTGCGGACATACTACAGGAGATGACCAGAGACTGTGGACATACTACAGGAGATGACCAGAAACTGCGGACACAGTACAGGAGATGACCAGAAACTGCGGACACAGTACAGGAGATGACCAGAGACTGCGGACACAATACATTTGACCAGAGACTGCGGACACAGTACAGGAAATGACCAGAGACTGCGGACCTTTGGGGAGAGAGGGGGAGCAGGTACCCGAATTTGACAGGTACCTGCTCCCACTTCCGCAGAGTTGTCCTCCCTCCCTGTCTTCTGGGACACGTGACAGGTCAAAGAAGACTGCCGGACCATTCACAAAGCACAGCGCTTCTTGCGCATGCGCAGTGGGCACCCAGCTGTCACAGCCGGGTGCCCACACTAAAGATGCTGGTGCCAGGAGAGAAGACTGTACAGCCCTGGACCGAGGAACCTGTAAGGCTCTGTTGCAGGGAAGAGCCAAGTGGCCGGCCCGGTATTCTGACACAGCGGTGGCGGGAATACCAGATCGGCCGCTCCCTATTCACTCCAAAAGACGCACAGATATTTTCCCACATTTTTGGGGGGGAAAAAAGTACGTCTTATGGAGCGAAAAATACGAGTACTTTATTATTATTTTGATTTGACATACGCTTTAAGTCCTCTTTTCTGGCATGCAGCCATGTGACATTGTTTTACTTGATATACTATTACAATTATAATGATGTTTCTAAAATATTTATTAAAATTTTTAAATTGAGCAAGCTTATATTTGCAATGGATGGCCACATTGATGGATTGATTTACAAAAAACAATGTCTCATCCATAATATATATAAAAATTATATATAAAAATACATATATATAAACAGAAGCCACTGTCAGACTTTTCTGGGAAAATATTATTAACAGTGATACAATTTGCTGAGCATTAAAAGTACACTAAAAATAAAACACTTGGAGTGGAGAAAAAATATTATGCTTAGCTGGGCTAAATATAATTACATACTATAGTGTGGATGTGCTGCTCAAATATAACTCACTAGACTAGTAAAATATTCTCTAAAAGGGTATCTTTGGTGCATGTTTGGCACTGTTGTAAAACCCTAGCATGTTCAAGGCCAAGTAAGGGCTGCTTACCTAACATGCCCACACAATTTGTGAAATTATTATTTGGTCTAGAATTCCTCCTCAACAAAATGACTGGCAGACTCTTAAAAAAATAATACATTTTTATACATTAAATAATATGATGCAATAATTTAGTCACCTGATTTATACACGTTACCCTTTTTGGACATATAGAACATATGTTACAATATGATATCAATATCACATTTGTGGTAATGTGTTTTTCACCAGCTGTGGACATTGGGTGTGATACAAGCCTCAAAAAACTTGAAAATACACAGTATTTGTTGTGTTCTTCTTTGCTGTTGGCTTTACAGCTGCTGCCATTCCAGCTGGTGAAATCTGCCCCCTTCTCAGAATTTTCAGTTTGTACTGTACTACAGTGACAGGTCCTCAGCTAACATTTTTTCATCTGTAATGCTATCCCTGCCCTCATATGGAAGGCAATGTTTTTATGTCACTTTATCATGGAATAAGCTTGCAGGGTCCACCTGACTACAGACATGTGGACCAGCAAGTATGGGCAGGGACATTATATCTCATTCACAGCTCACTGGGTCACTTTGCTGGTAGGCAACAAGGATGTGGTATCAGGCACACCACTGGAGCCGGTTGTGCCACTGTGCATCCTGACACCTGGTGATGTTAAAAGACCAATAACCTCCTCTGCCCTCTTCTGGTACATTGTTCTCAGAACCACCAACTCCCCCCAAGAAACAAAGAAGCTATGAAATGGCTCAGGCAAAAAGCTTCCACATAGTTTTGCAGCTGGTATACCTAGAAGACAGATGGAGCTAGCTAAAACCATGACATCCTATTCCAGGAAAGGTCAGATGTGACAAAGGCACCAACCTGCTGTCTGTCTTTGGCAGATAAAGTTCACACATATCTTGCCTGGCACACATCCACCACCTGGTGGTGCAGCACCTTTTATTTAGGTACCCTGGTTCATAGGTTCTCCTGAGACAGGCCAAAATAGTTTCTAACTAATTAAGGAGTCATACACAGCCAGTGTTTGGCTGGGTAAAATTCAATGTGAACTCCATCTGCCCGCAAACTGCCTGATATGTGATATGATACCTGTGCAAGTATGGCACAAATACAGACTGTGGTAGCTGTTTTTTCACACATGTTATTGTCTCATTATTCAGGGTGTATACACTGCAAGGTAAACCAGAATGGTGAGCCATGAAATGCAAACTATGCTATTTCTATTGCCATTGCCTGTCTTCCAGGAGCACACCCTGCCACCATTAACGTCTCTTTATACCATTGTCAGCTGGAATTTTCAGCCAACCCTGTAGACCTGCTACTATTGCCAACTCATACTGCTTCCATTACAAAATGCAATCTGTTTACTCTCTCCCTCATAAATTGCAGACTATACATTCAAGAATTCAAAGGTGTTGTGCAAATCTGTATCATATTTCCATTTTCAGTCTCAGAAAAAAGACACACATTGTTAATTTTAGATTCAGTCTGCTTTCTCTCCCAAAGAACATGAAAACAGGTTTTCTGCACTCCAATGATGTTGCAGATAAAATGTCATTTATTGAAGTCTTGATATTGTCTATATTGAAATTGTATGAATACTTCAATAAATTATATTTTATCTGCAACATTGTTGGAGTGCGCAAACCTGTTTTCATGTTCTAGTACTTACGATCACGGATCGAGCCAGCACCAGTTGGTGTGTGGAGGGGCTCTGTGAACACCTACTTACTTGGAGCACTTGCCCTTTACAGTTCATCATTTTGTTTTCTCTCTCCCACAAAATAACTGCAACCTATGCAATGAAAGTTTAAAAGCTGTGCTTCAAAACTGTACAAATATTCAGTCTTGACTCTTATAAAATAGACTATAACTGATTTTGTATACATGAAATCTCCATCCCTTGAAAGAGCAGACTATAAAAAAGGCTTGAAAAACTCTGCTGCTAATGTGCGCAATTTTTTATATTAGAAAAAAAGACACTGTTATTTATAACTCCAGATAAAATATGCCTGCTTTCTTCCTCTGACATTGCATCTTAGCAAAACAAAATGTACATACTGTCTAGTAAATCAGTTGAGTTTTTTCTGGCTTGTGGTTCTGAAAAAGCACACTTTTTTTGTAATCAATGACAAAACCCATCTGGTCTCTCTGATCTCCATTGGTAAAAATGCTTCCATGGTGTGCATTGTGTCTGTGAAATATTCATGGCTCTTGATTGTAACAAAATAAACTGAATTTTTTTTTTCAGTGAAATATACCTCATCTTTCTCTAACATAGTGCCTAAGTACAAATTATTGCATAAAGTACAACGAGTCTATACAATATTTATGGCTGCTGTCCTTTAAATATCAAACTCTGTTATACCTCTTAAAAAAATTTACTTATCTCTTACATTGTTGCCCCAGGCCCCAATCAAACTACTTATGTATTCTCCAGATGCTGTGCCTTTTTTTCTGTTGTCTTTGAAACATGGCATTATAATTTTTTTAGTATGCTCTAACAAATTCCTAATCTCTGGAATGTGGGTTTGTGGTTTTAAGGTTTTTGGTGCACTTTGGTTGGCATTATATAAAACAGTGTATACAATACAGTGATGTATTGACAATCTCTTGTCTATTAGCCCAAAAAATTACTATTATTGATTTTTAATATTCAGCTTACATTGAGTTCAATGGGGTTAAAATTTGCCATGTGAACTTTTTGTGAAGTTTATAGTCTTACCCTTAATCTAAAAACCAGGACATTCAGCTCATCACTAATAGTGACATTTCAAGTTTACTTTTGTTAATACTTGTCATAGTTTGGATTGTCCAAGTTTTTTACTGGTTTCTCCTTTTTAAACTTCCAGATTTTGGTGACACATTTACAGCAGAGTATGTCAGTAGAAAAAAACAGTATAAAATAACAGTTATACACTGAGATGTCTGGGTGTACAATCCTTCTACAACTTTATCTTTAATAATAATAGTTCAAAAATATGCCATAGATACAGTAAATGCCCTATGGAAAGAAGAAATCTGTACATTTGAAATAATAGGAATATTTTTTGTAATTTATTATTTTATTTCTATCATCCCAGTATACAAAAATGATTAATTCCAGGAAATATAGCATATAGCAAACAAAAGTTTAGTTAAAAATCCATGAAATTACTAATGCATAGATAATACTCTCCTGTCATGTCTTGGGGCTAAACAAGAGTACATGGATGATTTTAACTGTATAATTCTGTGCCATCTAACCTCTTGCTAGCACTCACCTCATTTGCAACATTTTGCATATCAATGTGCTACAAATGATATGCTTGCCAGCAAGTAGTTAAATTGCTCAGTTGCATGTGACTAAAATGTTCTAGTTTAGCCTTTAGGTTTTTGTATAAAGAGGATTATTTCAGCAATTAACCACTTTGCTGTATCCACTGTTATGTTATGCTAATAAATAATTAATTTGGTATGAGAATCCTTTTAAAACTTGAATAAAAAAAAATACTTTCAAGGGCACATGTAGGTGGTGTGTCTCTTAAATAATATATTTTTAAAGCTAGTCATGCATATTAGTTAAATGTATATGCATGGTTTGACCACAATAATTCCAATCATTGATTGTACACACAAATATATCTATGGCATCAAATTATTAATCTTTTTTTTATCTTTTCTAGTGATACTTTTCTTGCCAACAGCTCATTTATACAAATAAGGTGTGTAATTGTTTGTTCTTTGCCAACAACAGTAATTTAATTATTATTTCTCTATTATAAAGATGTATTTCTGCTGCACCACTATTTTTCTGTGATATATAGTTTTTGCTCTCCTCAATGCACCCTCAAAGAACATTACAATTAACACCAATCAAAGTATGAGATAAAGAGCAAACATCTATATAACATTTAGTTAATTTCCTTTTATGAAAAAAGACAGTAAAATTAGAAAAAATTGAATGTGGTAAGTTAACAACCCAAATGATCAAACCTTTTTTAGATGTCACAAATAATACACTGTAATGAAATAGCTGTAAGCATTATTAAAATGTGAATTGATGTACTATTCAGCAGGCACTCCGAATGCTAGTAGTAATTATTATTTACAACCTTCATTTTGAGGGATAGTTAAGTGATGTATGTAGGAAGCTATAGGGCAGTGGATGTGTGTTAATAATACAAGACAAAATCTTCACAGCAGTTGGAGCCAAAAGAATATTTTCAACTGTGTTGAATTAAAAATGTAAACTAGTGTTAAGATATTTCTTTACTGTACATGGTGCATAATCTGAACATTGATGCATTACCCAACCACCTTAAGGTCCCCAACTGGTGGGTTTCCAGTGTCCTAACCCCACTATATAGCAATGTGGCACCACTCTGTGAAGCATTC